GTGCACAGTCCGATTGTGTATACAAGTTTTTAAGCATTCGGACAGCAAGATCACCACTGTCGTCGGTTTTCTGTCTCCTATGAACCAGTTTGTTTTTTGGGCCCCCAACCCAGAAGACATGAGATAACTACCCTACCTAACCGGTCTGTGCATTTCTTCGTCTCGTCTCCACTTTTTCAGCTAGCTTCCACGTGGAATTCTCCAATCACCAGCAAAAAACAAGAGCTGGAAAAATCTGTTTCACAATGAAATCTAGATAGTGAAGCGGATGTACTTATGTCTTTGGAATTCCCTATGATAACATTTGTATTAGAACAAAAACTTTCTTACACAGTTCTCAACATTAAAATGTTACTGTAAAAATGGTTTAGTGGAATAATCGAGGTAATTCAAGCATTGGTTGAGCAATATAAACCCTATGTATACAAACAACTAGTGATTGGCACGAAATTTAAATCGGTTACTCGTAAGGAAAAACATAAGAATGCTAATAACTGCTTGTAATTACTTGTCTGAACAACCAGAACCTGTTGGGACTAAAAACATATAATGAGCTCTAATCGGCAATACAGGCAAAGTACTAATAGTAGCCTTGATGAAAGTCAGTCAAAATAAACTCGAAGACGAGTGCACTCAAACGATTACTTACCATGTGATTGCAGCCTCCATTCTTCTCAATGCACACGTGACACTCGGGGCAATCTTTTGTATGAGCCTGCATGTAAGTCGATGTACCCAAATCCTCCCGACACTTCAGCAACCAGCGTTTCATGGTATCACAGCTGGCAGGAGCATGATAAGCCTCACCACACAGGAAGCAAAACTGCTCGTGACAATTGCTGCATTTAACTCGACGAGCTTTCGGAGGTTCCAGAGCGTGTATAACAACCGAACAATCGACACCACTGCAAAACCGCAACAACGGGTGACTCTGAGACCCCGGACAAAATAAACAACAGCAACATTATTATTGTTATTAAACGGAAAACAACTGAAAATATGGCAATCATTTAATGATAATTCCCAAATGAAAAATCAAAACTGAATCTACTGTTGATCATTAAAAATATATAACTTGTGAACTGGAAAACTCACTGCAACCATTTGTCTGAATATAAATTTGAGATATTTGTCCTTCATCGGAGAACCTTTCAATATGGTCAAGAGGAAGTCCTCTGGGACAAATATATCGCAAGAAGTTGCCATACACCTCATGTCTGTGCTATTGGCTTCGCTAACTTGTAATACAAGATATGAAGACCAACAGTCCGCACAGAATCGATGACCACATGACAGACCGTATAGACCGGAAGCAGAACATGCGTCGACAGAACGTTCCGTCATACCGGATCCCACCGCACCAGTTCCCAACACATGTGGAGGATTAGCAACCGGCTTTTCCGAATACTCCGGGAAAAACTCAAGCTTTGGACCGTTTGGCGATGGTGTAGAGAAGCAAATAACACACGAAGAATCTGGTGAAGCGAAAATAAATGAACGAAAGTGTATCCTTGTGAGAATCAATGAAGTTGATATACTGAAGCAAATGTGATGAACGCTATTAAGGTATAACCCGATCAAGAAACATTTCATAACTTACCTGCGCTTGATTTTGGTGGAATTAAGTAGGGATGAACAGGAAAGCTTTTTCGCTGAATCGCGCGAATAGTTGCCATAACTGAAGGACTGTCAGAGGCCGTTGGAGAGGCTGACCTCGGAGGCACAATGTGTTGCTCAACCAAGAGTTCAATGGGGTCCGTGAGGAACTTCTTGGTAACTGTTTCTAGCTGCCATTCATTATTCAGAAGTAGCAATCGGGCGATTGAAGGTGGTATCTAATGAAAATGGCAGACAACCGGATAAGAATTAAGGGTAGATCTGAGAAAATTACGGCTTTTAAGTATACGAATGGAACACCGTGACTGATATCTGGTAGATTACCTGAAGGATGTACGTGATTACCTTAGTCAGCAGCGAGTTCCCGAGAGGATTGTTTATTCTATGTATACTTCACACTTATTTGTATTCAAAATGTCAAACAAATCATACCACAAGAAGCCGCATTGAAACAATATCAGATTACCGTCGACAGTCATTTATGCGCGACGAAGCTCCAGGGTTCACCAAAAGGTATTTGTTCATCATTTCTGCACATGCGCCAACCAGCTGCACTCCCAGTAGAGAAAAGGACTAATTTTACTTGTATAACTCATTCGGATGGGCCACCGCTCCGATATACTTGTGCTGGCAGGTGAGTTTAATGAGCGGGATTGAAAACCCCTCTGAAGCCCATCGATGTCGTTTCGATCTGCCTGCCCAGCAAATAGAAGACGGCGATCGACTAACTCAGTTGGCAGCCTCAAAAACAGTCTTGCTGATGGGAAATGAATTTGGATGATGAATGGACTTTGTCGCATTAGCGTAGCTGTGGAAACAGATGAACAATAATCGCGATTGACCTAAGTGGTAAGCGGAGCATTGAGTGGTATGTTAGGTCTCCAAGTGATCGGTAACCGCCGTCGCACTGCAGTGCCTGCACGAATGGTTGAGCGATAATCTCTGACGAGAGTGAACAGGCCACTGACCGAAGGGGTCATCGCGGCCTGGATCCATACAGTGCTTGAGCGATGCAACAGTAATTCGTGAATCACGTGTTGAGCTTTATTAACCACTGAGGTTATGACTAATTGATGTTTACGGACACTACGGTAAGCATTTTTTAACAGAAAAGTAATGAAAGCTTGCATAGCGAACACTGGGAGCTTGGAATATTGAAAAGAAGTCAATGTGCCACCCAGTACCAGATGTTTCATGTGTTTCAATTTTTTGATCCTTTTGAATGCGGTTTTGCAGACAAATTATACAATAGATCACGTACACACGATCTGGTCTGAATCGTCAACTGTGCCCTAATTTTCTGACGTCATTATAGCCAAATCTCAGTAGATCATGGGAGACTCCATGCACTCCAGTTGGTGGCCACATTTACGCTGCAACTGGATGGGATAATATTTAGAATTTAAATTCGCTAATCGAGTTGGAAAATTTTATCAAAGATAAGTAGTTCCAGGATAAATGAGCACTTGAATCTGAACAGGGGTTACGTTCCGACGGCACTGATCAAGCGTCAAATTGAGGGATTCGTAAAAGATTGAAAGCTTTTGATACGCCAAGACTACGTGATGAGGTCTATTTGAATTGCGCTTAAAATAAACAGTTGGTAATAATAAATAATGGGAACAAGTAAAGGAAGTACCATAATTTTCATCGATCCTGTTTATCTTGCCCCAACTGATTTTTCATAGACGGTAGATGGCTCTGTCAACACCCGACTCACTGCCACGCTTGACCTTTGAATTCTTATGTGGTCCACCACTCCAGGTCTCAGAAACATGGTTGCCGGTTTCCTTCTCATAACATAAACATGGCAACACGAAATCACATACGTTCGCTGTACGCAGTTACAATGGAAACACGCACTGATCGCACTCACCTACATTCGCGGAGTGAACCGCAACACTGATTCTGTACACTCATTTTCCATTCTTCTTCTCCACTCGTGCTTTTTATGACCGTACCAAACAAATCTTCCAAACCCAGTCAGAAGCCACCCACCTTCTTGACCCAAACTAGACTTTTCACTTTTCCTTTCTACTTAATGCCGGTGTCTGCGCCGTTATCCACCAATCAGTCACCTCCTCCAGAATCACAAATTTTGATCTGTTTAATCGTGAATTTCAGCTGTAGTGGTTGAAGCTCCGAATATCTTCTTTTAATCACTCCTATTGTGTTCTACATCGCTCCCCCAACAATGTCGAATCCTCCGTAGTAGTTTCTATCTTCCAACATAGGAACACTTGCTTGCAAATCGACCCAAATTACCACGCTACCATGTTGGGAGATCTCAACGTTCATAACCAGGAATAGTTAACACATTCACCTTCCCTTCACCCTCTGGAATGAAAGGCGGTAGACACTCCTCCCAAATAAACCTTTTCTCAACCGTTTAGTAGCAGAAAGAAAACCGACAACAGTGGTGATCTTGCTGTCCGAATGCTTAAAAACTTGTATACACAATCGGACTGTGCAC